TTCACCAAACTTTGAATGAAGTTGCATCATGGGCTGGGGTGTGTCATACTCGAAAGGCAGGTCACTCTGACATTGACATTGACCTTTTACTCCTATGAAAGTAAAACCTTGTCTAATTCGTGTTCTGCTCACGACTTTTCTACCGTAAAACTAAGGTAATCAAATTTGGTATATAGTTGCACAATGGGCTGGGAATATGTCATATACCAAAGTCGGGCCACTCTGACATTTGACCCTATGATAGTCAAACCTTGTCTGATTTGTGCACCTGTGCATAACGTTTGTACCATTCGAATTTGGTTGACCGAACTCGGTATGCTGATTCATCATGAGATGGGGGTCATATATCAAAGTCAGGTCAATTTGACCCTTAATTTGACCGTTGACCCTAATGTTAGTAAACATTGTCTGATCTTTTTTATGCATAGCTTTTGTATTGTAACACTTAGATTGACACACACTGTGAATGCAGAAGCATTATACTAACCTTTAATTTTCAAACTGATAGTATACAAACCTCAGACTTTTTTCCTGGGTCAGTATATTACTTTCAGATTGACCTATCAGTAACCATGTATCAATCTAACCGGGAGGCAATGAAAATGAATGTATTCAATAATTTGTAAAACCGGATATGCCTGCAGACCACAACAAGTATCAATATAATTACATAAATGTACATGAAGCATTTATGATTAATCAGATATAGTCGAACTTTACTTTAAGACTTATGTTAAACTGTTGCTTATTTTTTTTACTAATAATTGGAAATTCATTCTGAACATACAAGTAAAAAATACTCTTACAATGCTTTTATCGTTCAGTTTCCAAATGATTGAACTTATAATTTTAATATTAGATTTCAGTATCTATTAATCAAAACAGAAGTGTTATTTAAAACAATTTATATAATGAATATTGGCACATTTTTAATTATTGCTAACAAAATTTTCAGCTATCTAGACTTATATAGCTCAGATTAATTGTATAGCAATCCATCCTGCGGTACCAAAAGAACTAAATTATGATCCCGATACACACATTAAGAAATTTTAACCTTAAATTACCAATATACAACTGCCTTGTACCTTCAAAATTAAGATGTAAACAACCATCTTTATCTGCAAATAATGTCACTTTTGGCCTACCACTTTTCATGATATATATATGAAATAATGAACTCCTCTACGATTTGGCAGTAGAAATGAAATTACAGTAGCCAAACTGAAATTAATCAATAGACAACAAATGAATATCATTTGTACCAACATGAATGAGTAAACAATTATAATATTCACAAATTCTCCCCTTGTACTTGTTGAGTGGATAGTGCTATCACCCATGCAAGCCCCGGAAAGCAAATACATCAGTATTGTTAAGTTACACATAATTAGCAATAGAGTCTAAGACTGTCATAAATGTCTTTAGTGTTCAAAGAAGCAAATTATTAATAACCTAACAAAGAATAGTTTAAATAATCATCTGAGAATCCTGAAGTTTATGTATTAATTTAAATTCTTAATACTTTTGAACACTAAGCAAATCTCATACAGTTGAATGAACCCTGTCTGTTGGAAACTCAGCATCAAAGGTCGACGAAGTTCTCCCTCTTCTATAAGTATGTGTAGAATAAGATAAAGAATTTCAACCTGTTTTTTTGTATCAAATATTTTGGCTTATTTTGATACTCTTTATAGGTAATAAGTGAAATTTGTCCCTTTTTAACTTTAAAAAATGCTGGATCCTTTTTATGCGCTGGCATATTCATATATGCAGGGACTGGACAAAACTACTCCCAAAAATATAAGAAATAGCAATTCTTAATTTTCTTTGCCCAAATTGAATAGTTTTGACAATTTCAAGATTACAATTAATTATCATCTTCGAGAAATATGTCACCTCTACATAATTGCTTATTCTCGTTAAATTCTGTTTTCTGAAGTTGGAACAAAATTCGATTTTCTACTCATCATAAAAAACGATAACAAAAATAATATCAAGAAAGTTTTATCTTGAGTGTTATCCAAATCCATCAATTCATAAATCTGTTTTAAAATCAAAGGAATTATAGGAAGAGCTTTGCTGAGAAAATAAGGATTTAATCTAATCCTTTCAAAGTAAGTTTTGATAAAAGAAAAAGTCTCTGTAAATATGGAAACATAGTCATTAAATAAATTCATAAATCATACACCATTAATGTAATTTTTACAATAATGCACTGATTTAAATCACTTGTTCAAATTTGAGCATACAAACCACACAGGTTTCAAAGAATCCGGTAAAAAGTTAAAACCCAAATAAAAATAAAATGTTAAAAAAAGTCCTCCACTTAACTTTAATATTTCAAAAGTGCTTTGAGCAAAGACTGACTTGTGAGATGTCTGTTTATCCACTTTCAACAAATTCGGCCTTTTTATCTACAACAAATTACCTATCATGAGTAAACTGAAACAGTTCATAGTACATAAATGTCTTTAAACATTTACTTATTCTGATAACAGGTAATTTATAAGATACATCTTCAAATCAGTATCAGAATGCCATCTTGATAAAATATCTGCTGTTCTGTTTTCAACCCCATAAAATTGAACAGCCTTAATTTCAAAATTATACTTTGCAGTAAAATACAGAATTTCTCTTAAACAACATTGCATATAAGCATCTCCAGTACTGTTGACTAGTTGTCACATTTAAGCAATGTTTTTCTATTTACAAAATGTATACACCATACTTTAACACAAATCATCACTGCAATCTATTCAAATTGATTTATATGTAAATTCAAATCAATCACAAAGAAGGAAATTGAACATGGATAAAACTCTAAATTAACCCATCAACATAAATGAAAATCTATGGCCTTTCAATTAACTTTTCGAATTATCATAACAGCTCTTTCTTAATTTAATCATGACATATGTGGACCAGTAGACAAGCTCTTTGGATGTGTCAGTTTATAAAAATTTACTTGCTGTTATATTCAACACATTTCCTTTTAACATTTTTACTTCAAACAAAGCAGTGTCATCTGATCATGAATTTTCACCTTTTTCATTCATCTTAACCCAGGTTGGTTAAAATTTAGCAGTACATACCAATCATACTCACTTGCAAGTTAACAATTTTTTTTGATAACGATACCTCCTTTTCTTTTTTACCAATTTTACAATAACTTTGATTTCTAATTCTCCAGCACAAACATGACTCTTTATAAGCTGTCTTAGTTCCACTGCTTTTCTGTTCGTAAATTCATACTTAAGTTCGATTGAGGCCAGTTCATTTTTATTTATTTTAACTTTGTCATGTTGCCTGTCCATTAAACCGGATATTACTTTCTTTATCTTTTGCTTGCACTTACTTTTAAGTTTTCTGTTACTATCTGAATCAGAAGCTGACCCAGAGTATGATTTTGACACACTGCTTTTTGAACTTGAACACTACTACTTGCAGATGAATCAGATTCAGAGGTGAAATCTGTGGCAAGTAAATGTTTCATTTTATTATCTACATTTTTTTAGTTTCTGCTTTTTTCTCAAATGTTAAATGTTTAAAAAAGAACGCTCATCGACTTTACTGTCCTTTACTACATCTTTTGTCTTATTTCTCTTAAGGTTTTCCTTACCATTACCTGTATTTTAATTTTTAACTTTATCTTTACCCGTATCTTTGCCTTTTCCTGTACCTTTCACTTTTGTTTTGCCTGTATCCTTGATTTTAACTTTATCTTATCCTTGTCTTTTGTAGTCTTGGACTGGTATCCCTTTTTACAAGCTTTCTCCTTCTCCTGCTATTTTTCCAGCACATTTCAGTTCACTTACGTTAATTCATTCATTTTGTTATTTCCTGACGTAATGTAGTCTTTCTCTTCTTCATCTACATCTTCATCTCCTTCTCTTTCTTCTTAATTTCATTCAGCTTCATTAATGAGTTTTTAGTTTCCTCATTGGTATTGGATTCCTCGTCCGCATCCATGATGGATTCCTCATCCGAATCTATGAAGATACTCAGTCGTTCTTTGAAATCTTCGTAGTCCGAATACGACATGTTCAATGTATTCCCGTCATGCCCACCTGTAAACGTGTACTAACTGTATCGGACTGCACATCCTTCCCTCGTTGATTGAGAACTATGTAGTCTATTTGTCTTTGAGTAATTCTTGATTATAAATTCCGATGTTACTGGTTCAGATCACTCATTTCAACAATGTAAATATTTTTTCAAGTATAAATTTCAAACGTGCCGCGAATCATGAAACAAGGAAATATATATATGAGCGTCCCATTTCTCATTAACACGCAAACGTTTTGTCTGTTTGTCTATTTCATTTTAGCCATGGTGTTGTCAGTATATTTTCGAATTATGAGTTTGTCCTCCTTCGCCTCTCTTTTTCTAACCCTTAACTTATTCTAAAAGTTCTACCTTAGAAATGATGCTGACAGTTCTTACGTAGAACAAATCTAAGATACAGCTGTTCTAGAACTGTTTAGAACCGTTTTATCAGGGTATTATTGGTTTTCAGATCAGAAGTTTTGAAGATATCGTTTCAATATATGCAAAACCAGGGAATGTTTCATGTATAGCATGATAACGTATGTTTTCATCAATACTTTTGAACTATGCACACACATGTTTTAATCTACTTATTCGCACGCACGCAATTTATTAAGTATCAATTTTATGTATAATTTCATTTTTTGTCGAAGAGATGTCATGGGCTATGGGTGCAGCTGCTTTTGTGCGGACTCATGCTAATTGAGATTTGATTTGAAAGATATTGAGATTCAATGGTATTTTGTTAATAATTTGTGATATATCGGGTGATTTTTATAGAAAGGTTAAAATAATAACGGCTTATTTTTTTCATTTTTACAAGTGAAGTTAATGTGTGTACTGTTCATTTGACCCACTCCTTTTTTAGAGATGGCTAGTTTCGTAAATTGAACTTTATTCTTGATTTGTTATATGTCGTCATCCTGCTATAGTTTGTCATTGCAGGTAGACAAGAAAAACTGTTATTCAGTACTTACAATAATGTGAAAGAGATAGATTTGGATACAGGAGTAGTGAAAATACTTGCCAATCAAACCGGTTACGTTCTGTCTATAGCTTATGATACAAAAGAAAGATATGTGTATGTTCCAAGAATTAGTTACGATGATATAGTAAGGTATAATCATTTGATTAGTTTTTAGTACTATGATCTATAAACTTTATTCAATTGTCGTTTTTTTGGACATTATTATATTTTACCACAAATTACCTATATTTGTAGAATAACCACTCCAAGAATGCAAACATAGAAAAATATTTAACGAGTGATCGAACATCCGTTTAATCACAAATGCGCATATCGGATGAATTAATGGTCAGTGTTGTTTGGTCACAAGTTGAATATTTTTCAATGTTTGGATTAGTTATTCTTTTTATCACATCGACTATGATTTTTTTTGAAGTAAAGAATACAAGGAACCATACCTTTTTATTACGCATTCTCAATTCGTTTTGATGTAACGTCAACGACAACGTCTTGACCACACCTATCGCTGTATAACGTCAGAGGAGTGACATTACCGGATTTATTTCAAATGTGAGATTCACGAATTTTTTTGACTGAGAAATTATGATATTTCATTGCAACTAATGAAATAAAGTGTTTAAAATCAAAAACAAATATTTTGCTTTTTTTTTTGTTTGTTGTTTGCCAACACAAGACAATTTTCGAAATTTATAAAAGATAGCAGATAATTATATATATTTTTTTATCTATACAAACTTAACAGCAAGAGGAGTATTATTAATATTATATCATGTTTGAAGTTGGCAGCTACTAAAGTATAATAACTTCAAGAAATGCATGTTACCCTCTGTGTCTTTTTTTTTTGTCAGGTTTGTGTTGCTCAATATTTTGTTTTCTGTGTGATGTTGTGTTATATGTACTTGTCTTTTCTCGTTTTTATTTTGCCCTTGGTGGTTTCTCTTCTTATTTACATTTTGATTTTCAATTACCCCCAGAGGATACTCTCTATCTCTTTACATCTTGCAACGAACAAAAAGACAAAAGACAAGCACGAAAGTAAAAACCAAACAGCATCGTCTGTTTGTTTATTAGATCTCGCAGTTCAGAACAGGTGTGATGAAATTGGATACAAAGCAAAGGAAATTGTGGCTTTTTGTAATCTCAGTATAATTCCTCTTGGAAATAAACTGTTGTATAATAACATTATAAATATAGATTACCAAAATGAAATTGAACAATATGAACTTGATATTAAAAAAAGAACCATATGTATTTTAATACGACCGAAGATCAACTCTGATTAAAAAATTTCGAAAACAAATAGGAAAAGTGTTGTTTTTTTTCATTCTTTAGATTCCCTTATCCAAACGCACATTCTGTAAAGTTTGAAACTGCTGTCCAGGCAAATAATCCAGTCGGTGTAGCATTTGACTCAATAAACAGTCATTTATACTGGACACAAATCAGCACAGGAAAGATAATGAGATGTAACTCAGATGGATCTAATGTAACAACTATTATAAATGAAACAGAACCTATTGGAATTGCACTCGGCATACAGAATAGGTTTGTTGAATTAGTAATTTGTGTGTTTACTCAAACATGTATATAGCGCAGCCTGACTTTAATGATATAGCTGCAAACACCAAATTGGATTCTTTTTATATATTTGGCTGTTCAAACATGATATGTTTCCAAAATATGCCACATCATTTTTATGAAAAATTGATTGTAGTGTTGTGCTTAAGGCATGTTAAAAAATACAACGACAGTGCTCGGTTGAATCAGAACATGTGATTGTTCCATTCAATTATGTTTAGAGGCTAACAAAGCACTAATAATATGTTTATAAAGTCTGTACAAATAATAATTTGTTCAAAATTACAATGTTTGAACAACAAACATAATGTAAGAATGTATCAGGTATAGATGTATCCAGTCAATTCCCTTTAAGTCCATACTGAGCAAGATTCGTGGATGAATTTCCAACAAAGTGTTCACTTGCTGCTTACATCCGCGTCATTTGATGTCTAGTGGATAATTGACATTTTACTTATCATGCCACTTATTCTTATTTTTATATAGGAAAACATATTTGTATAGTATGATAGTAACACGCATTGAACTAACATAGCATTTTGAAACATGAAATCGTTTTACATAAATTCTGAAAAAATCTACAATTTTACTCATTTTTATGATATTTCAAATTTGAAAGTGTCGATCGAATTCAATCTGAATGTTCAAAATAATTTTGAGTGACTATTTGAGTATCGTCTCATTGATACGTAAGAGGATATTTACACAAAGCATTGATGACAACCGGCTTTGTCTTATTTATTTATTGTTTGTAGAAAAAACTATATCTTTATTAAACCTCTCAATAATGAATTAAGCAACTGCAGTAGTTTTCCGATGATTTTAATCTGATAACTCGATAAAAACCGTAGTTTTGATTTCAGCCGTTGATCCTCCTAAATATGTTGGAGCAGCTTTTGTGTATAAATCTCACCCCTGTTAATGACGACCGTTTTGTGCGAACATGTACGAAGGTTACATATTAATTGGGATATGCAAACGACAAATGATGGAGCGGAGGAATTATTACTGCTGAGAAATTGGGAAGCTAACAATAGAAAGTTTAAATGAAGCGGGGGTTTATATTGATGCACATTTCCGTCAGTCCATCTGTCCGTCTTCTGACACTTTTATTTTTTATCATAATGATATGAACCATTAAATAGAGGTCAATTTTCAATTTTGACGTTTGAGTCATTTAACAATAATTCTCCTTGATTATTTCAAAAATTAAAATATTTCGGTTCTTGATCATTAAAGTACAACTAAATCTTAAGAAATTGATTTAGAACTTAAATACAATATCACACATATCTCTTCAAAGACACATGGCTGATAATTCAGTACGCCTGATGCGTATTTCTTCTATATGGTCAGTGGTGCTCAAGTCAAAACAGTTGGATGATCGAATAATACACGAATTTGAAGAGCTTTGAAAACAAATTCTAGCTGTCGTTATAAATTTGTCAGCTTCATTTACACTTAACAATGGCACAATTTGTATTTTTGAATTAGCCTTCTATAAGAAAAAAAATGTTTAGGTATGACAGGAATGCTAAATGTTAACTTTTTGGTAACGATGTATGTGGGTTTTTTTAATTAATATATTTATTTATCTATTTTTGTTTCATGTTGTTCAATCATGGATTTATTAATTGATTAGTTAATTATTTGTTTATCTATTTTATTAATCAATATTTATTTATTTACGTATTTATTTATTTATTTATTTATTCATCTATTCAGTTTTTTATTTCAGTAATTAATAAATACAATTATAAGAGAGAAGACGTTATCAAAGTTAAAATATATTATTTTGGCGAAGTAAGATCATGGCTTCTGTCGGTTACCAACCCACAAACAAAGGGTCTTTGGGCAACCGTAAATTAGATGCAAATAAAATAGATAAATAAAATTCAAAATTCAAATAAAAACTAAAATGAAATGAAATTTTGAAATAATGGGGTGCTGAATTGAACCCTGGCAACAGATATCCAAAATCAACATGAGAAACTACGTTTGAGGTGGAAATGAAGATTACATGGATTAATGTTCTAAATTAAATAATAATACACTGATAAATCAAGTTCATCGGTACTGGTGCAGCCTATAAAATCCGCCACTAAACAAGTTCAAAAACATTACCATACACTGAGATTCGATATAACTCTGATTGTAATATTCTGCAATAACAAGAATCTGACCGCAGTAACTACTAACTAACAGATTCCCGAAGCCAATAACCTACTTCGCCGTTTTGTGGACAATACATGGATGCAAATTGATAATAGCATAACTGGATAATAAATAGGTGAAAATTGATAATAGCATAACCGAAGTTGTAACGTGAATGAAATTAGATATCTTTCAATATCTGACAAATAAACTATTCCTTCTCACTGTAGTTTGGTTCAATCACTTATTTGAAATCTTGTTCTTGTATTGCAATCTTGGTAACATTGGAACCAAGCAAATTTGACTAAGGTAATAAATCTTGGAGAAAATCAATATCGCTTATAAGTTAAGTCCTATCGTATAGAACGCTTTGTCCGATGTCATGTCCATTTTAGTTGATTGCTTAACATTGCGGGGTTCTTCGAGAATGAGCATACGATTAGTTTATCTCTTTACTTTTTTGATAACAGATGAAGATATTTGACTTGCCAACTGTTATGTTAGTAATCTGATATATGGTTAATACTTTTTATATTACCAATGACTGAATTCGACTTTTACCATATGAAAATATAAAAACTAGAAGATCTGTCATGAATGTCAATGAGGCAACTATTCGCCTAAAACTTAATGGCGTGGGCGTAAACAGCTATAGGATACCGTACAGCCTTCAACATTGCACATAGTCCATACAGTATAATAGCAATAAAAGGCCCCGGCAACAATTCAAACAAGAAAACAAGATCATGTTTAAGTATAAATCAATTGAAACGTAAAACAAGTATAATAGACTGCGACAAACAACAAGTTTGTGAGAACTAAGCCCTCCCGTAACCGGGGACAGTGGTTAACAACACAACATAAAACAAAGTTGAGGTAGGTTTGACTCATCAGATCGACACAAAACACAATAAACAACTACAAATAGACTAAAGACACCAAGTACCCAACTAAGAGTACTCGCAGTTACTGAAAGCTAGTTCAAAGCCAATTAAAACTAGTAAATGAATCATGTTTCCCAGACAAAAACTTTTTAAACTGAGATGCAGCTAAGACCCCCCAAAATTTGACTCTAAAAAAATAGCCGATGGAATATTTGCCGTCTTTAGGGCGCTCGTCAATACGACATTAAAACTGGTATCGTGTAACATTTTGTTTTGTTTGTTTAATTTAGTTTTTGTTTTTTGTTTTGTTTTTGTTTTTGTTTTATTGCATATCATGCGTATGACGTTCGACAACAATTATTATCCCAAATCATTTATGACTGCTTACAAAAACGAATATTCTCTAATATACGTATATACATAAAATTCCATGTATAACTGTTCACAGTATTTAACCCAATTTCGTTGTTTCTATTTCAGATAACAAATTCGTACTAATTAGCAGTTTTATAGTCTGAGATATACGCTACTATTAAATCTAAACCACAAAAGCAATAAAATCATTTTATCACCTAACTTATTTGAACTTTTCTTGACTTCTGTAATGATATAAATAAGATTTAAGAAAACCATTAACCCAGACAATTAACTCGCTTAGGCTGTAAATTTATATCAACAAAGATCTACACATCTGGTGATAAAGTTCGTAAACGTAACTTGCAGAATAATGTATACTTAGGCTATTTCTTCTCTATTCGTTATTGATGTTAATTAAAAGACTATTTTTTTTTTTTTTAACAAAACAACTAAACTAAAATTCTCTAATATAAATTTAAGGAGATGTGGTATGATTGCCAGTGAGACAACTATCCACTAAAGTTCAAATGAAGTAAATGTAAGCAATTATATGCAACCTTACGGCCTTCAACAATGAGAAAAACCCATACCGTTTAGTCAGCTATTAGAGGCCCCGACATGAAAAATATAAAACAATTCAATTGAGAAAACTAACGGCATAATTTATAACAAAACAGTTTACGAAAAACAAATATGACAGACATAAACCAACGATGCCTTTTTCCAAGTATAGTAGTAAAACTATCTTGCCTTGCTGATCAATTTTCTAAAATTTGAGACTAATGGAAACATTGTTATCTGTAAAACTAATATCAATTGACTTTAACGTTGATAATGCGCAAGTGGATTGATAGCTACTAGTTCCACTCATATGAAAAATCCAATAAAGCTAGTCTAAACAAGTCCCGAAAAAACAATAAAGATTCGTTACTTGAACGGCAAACAGATGGCAATAAAATTTTCAGCTTATGTAAATATTTGATAATTATAGCAATCATGAAAATCAACATTTGATTATCTTGTCCATTACATGTAGCATTTTATTTTTCTGGGCACGATTAAAACGTACGGAAAAAAGCTGTGTGAGTAATGACGGTTTATTCTAGTGCAAGAGCCATAGTTTTGATCACATTATTTATACATAATACAGACAGGGAATGAATGATTTGTTGTGGTCATGGTACATGAATAATAGCCATAGATCTAAATCAACTGGTCCCCAATTACAAGACTGTGAAATTACTTTCTATAACCGAAACAGCTCGTTTCCAACTTATGACCTGAACCCATCTAGCTCCAAGTCTTATTTGCTCATATATTGGATGAGCTCTCTTGCCTAATTCAAATTGGTTGTTAAATAAATATCTATATAAAAATGCATCAGTTTACTTACTGATATAATTGATATTTACGGTGATGAATTTTTATATAGCTGCGAGATACCATTTATTTTTATATTTATATATACTTTGCATAAATAGTGCAGAACTAGTTTCTGAAATTAGTGAAATGGTTCTCTCTTTTATAAAGACGACAGATGAAAATAAATCAAATTTAGGTATACTTGTGGTGAGAATGATATAATTAGAATAATTGTAAAAATTCCTTCGTGATATGTACACATACTAAAAATGCTTTGAATATAAAATTACTTGCGGGACTATACCTCCTCAGTGTGATTATAAAATAAATCAATGTTGAAATGTTTTTTGTTTATCTTAATCAGGATGAGATATATAGATAAGAAACCAATAAATAAATCAATCTTATTCTATTCTTATTCGTGGTATGGTCTTTGATAGTAAAAGCAATCCGGATCAATATAGTATTCGCCATTTAGAATCGTTTTCCTTATTATGCTCGAAATGTTACTACTTAAATCATTGTTAAAGCTAAAAATGTCCTGTACTGAATTAGCTACATTAAAATTAAAGAATAAAAGATGTGCCTGTTTTATTGATGTATTTAGATAAGGCATACTGCCACTTCTCTGACTGACATACATATAGATGGTCCTGCTGATGAATGAAATAATCCTGCATAACAAATTTTCGGTTTCTGTTTCAGATGCGTAGCTATTTTGACATCACAGGTGGCTAAAGCAGTTTTCTTTACCCCAATTATAACACCTCTTTCAACGCCTTTTCTACTTAGGCATCAACCTTCCAATAAATGTCATTATAAACAAATATAATTAAATAATATACATTTTATACTTCAAATAAACATTAAAATGTGTGCAATGCAATTTGGATAACCGAAAAAAAAAACAATTGGTTATAAAGACATTACAACGAAATATGAATGAATATTATTTGAAATAAATATTAATATATATCAGAAACATATTGTATTATATGTCTCTGTATATATGCAACGCAATTTGGCTGACCGAAAAACAATCGGTTATAAAGACATCACTGTAGCTGTCATTTAAAAAAAAAGTTATCAACTAATTTTCTTTAACGGATGCTCAACTTTGAAATATAATTTACGGTTTACTGCTGTCCTAAACACGATAAAGAACAATAAATGGTACCATAATTAATTGCATTTGATGGTGTTAATGTCACACAAGGCAACCCCATTATTAAATAATAGTTAACATACCTGATAATGGAACAGTACCATTATAATCTGCATTACAAAATGTAAATTGAATAGAAATACCTGGAATCGTGTTTTCATTATTTAATACCTCGATAAAGATACAAAAATATTAATGTAACTGGAATTAAAAACTATGTGAATCAAACATTTATTATACAATCCAACATAAATTAAAATAAATTCGCTCGTATTATAATTACTTTAGTCAAGGATGTGTATACTATATATAAATCCTTGCTTTAGTAAATTGTCCACTAATGTATAAATTATCAAATTGAATGTGACCGATTTTTATAATTAATTAATCAATAATCTGTTGAAATTTAAAAATTAATAAGATAAGTATTTACAATAACTAAACAATCTGACGTTAGATATATTCAGTTACTTCCTAGCAGACCGGGCATTCAGAATAGTGTGAGGAGTGCTATAGCTGTTAAAATTGATATGCCGTGTAATCGAATTAAGACATGCGCGTTACATTGACCTGTGCATGAACTGTCGCAAGTCTTGCCTTCCTCTGATAACGCGATTGAACGGTCAAGCCCTTTAAATCGAATTATTTACTAAGCTATCTATTTTGTAATAAATACATTTTGTTTCTGAGTTCGTTTTCAATATGTGGCAATAAACTTTGCTTATAAATTGTTAGATGGATTTATTATGGTCAAGAAAACAGTAATAGATTACACAGAGTGACATTCGATGGAAAGGAAAAACGGGTCGTAAGAAACCAGACATCGCGTGTGATAGGTATACATTCAGGTATGTCATCCATAGAAATGTAATTGAATTGAAAATGGTATAAATTAGTGTGATCATGTTGTATCTGAGTAATGAAATGAAATAACGATGAAACTAATAATGCTGCCTTTGACAATATACACCAACTATATATTCTGAAACACTGTACCTATATAGTACACACGACATATACATATTATTCAGTTAACCTGAATTCTGTGAATACTTTATTTGTTGATGTTTACCTTCTTTCTGAAGTCTGGTTATATAGAGACAATTTTTAAACTATACATTTATAAAACGTTTTAATTTTTTTTAAATCAAAAAGATTAACCGATTACGTCTTTACTGCATCTAATTTAATCCGATTTACAGCTGCATTTGATAAAGTGTAAGTGCTTTTTACTTTTCGGTCCGTGAAATTTGAGTTCATTCGCTCTCTTGTTATGATAGCTTGAAACACCACCCTCCCCCCAAAAAAACTAGATTTTTATTCCACTTTTATTTTTAAATCCTAGAAGTTGTTTTTTAAAAGGTGTATAGATTTAGGTTGTATTTAGGAAAAAGGTTTAAGGGAAATTGTCCATTTGTTCCCATACATTTAGTTACCGAATATACCACAATGTCAAATATATTGCGTGTTTAGCTGGAAACGAAATTATTTGAACTGATTTGAGATGAACATCACAAGGACTGTGACTGATGAATTAAGCTAAACATTCAACAGACTGTAACAATCTTTACACAACCGGTGTTTAGTGGAGTCCGTGTTTCTCAGTCTTTAGTTTTCTATGTGGTGTTTTGTATAATAGTGTTTGTCCTTTCATCCATTTTAGCATTTTGTCAAGGCTTTGTCAGTTTCTCTTCGACTTATGCGTTTTGAATATCCCTTTAAATAGGTACTTTCCGTCCCTTTTGTTTTACAGAAGATCTATTAAATTTGGTAAAAGATTGATCTAATATTATAAGGATAACGTCCAACGGCCAATATGCGTATATTTTCTGGTCATATAATCAAGAGCAAGCATACTCTGATACATTATTCTTTCCCCCGCACTACTTCAATTTTTGTTTTACATTTAACCACGTAAAATGACAGTATTTGTAAGATTTCTTTTCAATTGTTCAATTGTTAAAGTTATCCCTTTGCTGTGATCTAGATCTTGTCATCAGGGACAGAATTCAACTGATACCTGTGCTAGGGAACCGTCTTGACCATGTAGTAAGAAAAGAGTCCTCATTTTGAAAAACATCATTGTGACTATGAGTTGAGAGACAACAATTGAGCGTTGTTCTTTTACTTTTGTTTTTCTTTAAGCACCGCATCCTTTGTTTTTTAATTTTAAGACTGCCAACTTCTCAATCATACAGACATTTTTTACTGCAACATAGGTGGAGACTTACATATTTGGTCAGAGTCCCGGCGTGGTTTGATATCATAAATTGTTAAATATTTCTGAAAATATTTAAGATAGCCACCCAATAAGTCTGATATATATTTTATTGGCCACGATAACACATTTCCATGATGATACCAATTGTGTTGTGTGCGTGACCTTTATCAATACTCTTTTGTCAACTAACAGTTTGACATAGCTTTTCAAACTATTTTGTTTTTACTGTTAAGCGTTTATAAGTTTATAAGTACCTTCCAGGAACCTCGTTTAATGATATTTATGAAGGATTTTCATTTACCCATACGTTTACAATTATTCATCAAACAGTTTTGATAGAAAGAGTGAAATGTAAATTATCATTTTTACCATGGGATTCTTTAATCCTTATCTATCTGTGCTTCTGGTGATCCACCAAATTAAGCCTTTATAGACACAACGAAGATATTTATGCACACCTAGACATCTAAGCCTTCCTAGTTGGATCCCTGTGTAAAATGTTCAGAACGCCTTGTCAAATAACGGTCCGGGTAGCAGCCTAAAGCCTTCCATACATTAATAGTTTGTAGTCTTGTTTTGGAGAGGTTCTTTCGTTAGCAATCGTTGTGAATTTCACAACTGATTTGTAGTTTCCATGGTTACAGCACCAATTTAGAAAATTTCAAACTTTATCAGCACTTATTGGCATTGCAGGTCTCACACCCATAAGGTTAAATTAAGTCTATAACCCTGTGTTTGCCAAGTTTTTTCACTGGTAACGGAGGCAACTTTTAATTTTTTTTTTCTCGATCTTTACAGATCTATATTTATAATAATCTTTAAAAAATTGCAACATGTGTTTTCAAAAAGGGTATGATGCAAAACCTTCCTCGGAAAATGCCACTGTATTTTTTGGTTTGCTTGATTGTCAAAATCGAACTCAGTGAAATCCGTAACTTAATGGACACCAACATCGGGTAATTACTTGACGGGTGAGGCATACTAAAGTTATTGAATAAAAATAACATTAAATCTGATATGGTTTTACCTAATTGAATTGATCATTACAGTTTTTGACCGTTCTTTTTACTTTTGTTTTTTTTTAAAGAAAACCAGGCTAGTTTTCGGATATGCAGTAACGTCCCTCATAAATGCGATTCATTTTTTCTATCTTCATTTTCATATAATTTGTTAAACGAACGATTTTATACAATTACAATTGTTATGCATCTATTGTATTTTTTATGATCGGTGAAAGTAAAATAATTTGCAAATCTTTGTTACTTATATTACCCTGTCTTAATTCATGTTAGGTGGTGTATTTGGTCTGCAGCATAAATCCATTCAAATATACCTATTTGCAAGGTATAAACTTAACATGTTAAATCTTTTTATATTCGATAACCACTTTAACCAAAAAATAAACAACATTCGTAAAACTTCATTCCAAGATAGTAACTTCATTAATCGAGAAAAAATGCATTTTCCACTTTTAAAGAATTGACAAGAGCAATTTAATACCATTGTCATATGTTTTTTGTTTGATGATATGAAAACCAAAATATGAAACACTTCATATTTGGTATCAAAATATCATGAACTGGAAAACGACAACACGTTCTCCTTTTTTTTTTTCAAACGAAAAAACCCAAATTGACGCATATATAAAAACTACAATGTTGGAAGTGAAAAATGAGCCAGCAGAAGAAAGATACAACTCAAAGACAACTAGGATGAATGCAAAATAAAAAGACGGCATACATGTATATCAAGACAAACAACTTAACGTAACAAAAATACTTCGCGTCAAGCATAAACAATACACGATACAATACACAATAGATTTGCTAATTAGGAACACAATACTTTTCGAACCGAATAGTTATTAGTTAATCATACCGACAAAACTTTATAATGAGCATAATAACCCATTTTTGCAGAAATACAACAAATAAATTTTATTTTTCAATGACAATGCTAGTTATCTGATAAATATTTTAGATTTTGTTGACAAGCGAGTTTATTGGATGGAATATGACACGGGTGATTTGAAATCTGCATGGTATAATGGAAACGATGTTAAAACGGTGATAAGCACAAATGTGCGAAATAAGAACCGGAACATTGATATCGATGGTGATTACATATTCTACTCAAGCTATGATCAAATACTAAAAATACAGAAATCGTCAGGACAAAGCCCAACTGTTGTGCACACAGATATCGGGCAGATTTATGGTGTTGTGTTTTATAGACAAGAAGGTAAGAACATGTAAATAAATAAAAGATATTTTTAAACATATCATTAGATAACATAAGTTAACAAAAAATAAAATGAATTGTTTACGATAATTTATAATTCAACTCATGTAATTTTGTAATCCAATTTATGCATGTTAAAAGACAAAAATAGAGAAAAATACAATCGACAAATTGGTAGACGTATATAAGACTGTTTTTATACTTTATTCTGTCATTGTTGTTTCTTTATTTAATATTGGAATTGTTACTGCTGTTATAATATGCAATCATGAAACTAATGATAGGTCCAAGTTGTTGTTTAGTATTGTTAAAAGAATGCAAAGAATACATTTGTTATATACGTGTTAACATAAATGACCTTGTTTCATAGTATTACTGTATAACGGTCTAAAACCATTCTAACTGAATGTATAAAGAGATCAATGTATCGTTTAAATGTTACTTGCTACTTCTGTTTGTTCTACTAGTAGAAATAAACTAACGCTTTCAAGCTTTTCTCATGGAGAACAAAATGCTTTGCTTATTATATCAATGTTTGTTGATATACTATGTATTGTTGCTTTTTATTTTATACGATTTTAATTTATCAACAAATGTGTTTGTAATGTTGTACATTCAACGTAAATTCAAATTATCTTATGTTTGAAAAGGATTTTTCCATTAATTTAAAAAAAAATAAACATGTGATATATCGGTGAAGTTTAAGATCCTGGTTTTATTTTAGATTATTCCAACCATAAATCCTTATGTTAATTTAGCTTGTAGTAATAGATGTAAGAAAGTTTTTATCGATAAACAAGAAAACGGCTTGAAGAATCGGAACACTTTATTGATACGATGTCGTCTGTTTATATTTGGAAATTATATAATTGTTTTAAGCTGAAAAGTTTTCAGTCATACTATTTACCGTTTTTTATATTATATCGAATGATGGTGATTTTATTGTTATATTACAGGGAACGGAAACGCATTAAATCATTGATATCATCATTACAACTGGTGGAATGTTAGTCCGCGGGGGAATCATCAACTCAAAAGTCCGTGCTTCTGTACTGACATGATTTTTAACTACCTTTTCTTAAATTCACCTTTGATAAATTAAGAATGTTTTAAGAAAAAAAGTAAAATAACAAAAATACCGAACTCCAAGGAAAACAGAAAGTACATTATCAAATGGCAAAATCAAAAGCTCAAACGCATCAAACGAATGGAAAACAACTGTCATATTTCTGACTTGGTACAGGCATTTCCTTATGCAGAAAATGGTGGATTAAACCTTGTTTTATAGCTAGCTTAATATCTCACTTTTATGAAAGTCGCGTAAAGTTCCATTATATTGACAACAATGTGTGAACAAACTACGGTTCTAACTCACTCAGACAAAGTTGATCTTAGATGAATTTGGCTATTTGTAAGGTTCCTTTTGATCATATAGCTCTTCTGTTTAGTTCTGTACATCCTTTCAAATGTTTGGGTTTCAGCGTTCCTGATGAAGGTAAATCCTGGGAAGGGCTTCTGACGAACGAAGCTTCGGGAAATCACTCAACTATCTGAAAAACAATTTTGCTCCAGGACTTTGTCAGCAACCAGATCTTTTGTGGAAAGTATATCTGCTGACAAGCCACTACGCTCAACTTAAACAACACAGATGATCAAAAGAATGACAAAGCGAAGCTTCATCTGTCGGCATATGCGTGGCAGTCGAAGAGCCCCCGCGTGACAGTAGCTACTGAGATTAAGGTGTTGAGTTGAGGCTGGAGATGTTAAATGACAATGCTTAGAAAATAAATGAAAATTTTGAATGACAAGTGAAATATTTCAAAAGGTTTATTGTTGAGTTCTTTCACCTGTCGTTGAAATATTGAAGGTGAATCATGAGGTGGGGTTGGACGGTGGTTAATTTGGAGAAGAGGCTTGAAAAAACTGTTTACACAAGGAGCAATTAACTAAGACTGTGATCCAATCGTTTCCCACGTGACACATACTTCGAAACTTGAAGCACGCAACTTTATCTGACCTGTTTATGTTTGTGTGAGCTAAGTTTTAGGATGCCTGGCATTATACAGTTAAAACTTCTCTGAAAATTGCATTCAAACAAATACAACGTTAACAGTAGCATAGCATACAAACCATGTATTGAGTGAGTCTTGAGTATTTTGGCATAATTGATTATATGTAATGTAAGAATGAGTCAGGTCACTAAATCCCTACAATTTAATATTAGATGGAATCGTATCAAAGCTTTTTGGCATAATTGATAATATGTAATGTAAAAATTTGTCAGTTCACTTAATCCCTACGGTATTAACTTAATGTAGTTTTCCTTGTTAAAGCGTAGAACTAAATGTCCAATTTAAGTTGTATGTTCGACAATAATAAACAGATGTATATAATTATGTTGATTATTTGATATTTCAGGTCAGATGGATTAGTACAAACCTGACCAATAGTCAGCTGAAGATATTTTCAAAAGGGACGATTTACATTTACATATATCACCTTGGCACATTTGAAAAAAAACTAATGGGATTGTAATGTGTATTTGAAAAAGAAAACAAATTAAACTTAAAATTCTTAAAGTAATGAAAGGAAATGGAAAGCAATAATTTTAAACAAGCGGAAAACATAGACAGTTGGAAAATACAATCGTTATATTAAAACGGACAATGCCATCGTTGCTGTGTCACGACGTTGATAGTATATTATTACATTGTAGTACACTCACAACATTAATTCATCGTTATCTCTTCTATTACCGAACATGTCTAGAACTTTACGGACAAATGCATAAACATGATCCCGTCCCGTCGAATTTTAACTAATGATGACAACCGGCATGATAATCCGGTCTTATATTGTATGTTGGTAGCCCTAACAATGAAACCAGTTTGAAAGAAGGCCTCGCAATGAAACCAGTTTGGAAGAAGCCTTTACAATGAAACCAGTTTGGAAGAAGTTAATATAAATAAGAAAATTTTAAAAGTCAAACATTCAACCATTTTCGACCAAATGTGCTTCAAATGGTGTTCCTATGATTTGATTTTTTTTTCAAGTTAACACTGTTGACATTCTATATTTCAATCAAAAATAGATGAATCGTGTCCCAAAAAAGAAATCGCTTAGCACTAGTCCTGATTGTATTACAGGAGTTTGTTTATTGAACGAAACATATTGGAAAAGGTTTAAAAATAAGATAAGGTGAAAAGTCGGACATGGTCAATAAAATTTCGGGATTTCCCAAGGGGTCACAATTCAGTTACCGAAATAGATCAGTTGACATTTACAGTTTAAAAATATTTATCAGAGTATGGTTGTAAATGAAACAATCATCTACAGAAGTTTACTAAACTGTTTATTGTGCTTCATTCAATAACAAAAATTCTGCTAGGCCACGCCAATATAATTCCTTGTTCAACGGACCCGCCCGCACATATTTTTTTCTAAACGGAAAAAAAATATTTTTAAATATTCCCGCTTCCCGCATCCGGTGAAGAAATCGTGTTTATTTCCCTCGCCGGTATTTTTGTAAACATTAAAAAAAGCGATCGCCAGAGCGTTTTAGTCAACGTCAAATCGCGACCATTTAAACTGTTTCGAACATTACCACAGATTTTTTTTAACAAAGTCAAGGACTATTATTCACAAAATCATGCCGATTTTCGTTGTTAGAATAAAGGACTTAGAAATTTGAAGGAGATGTATTTGCTAATACAGACACCTTTAAGCAAAACTATTCATATCCGCTGCATTTTTATGCACCTGTCCTAAGTCGGGAGCCTGTTGTTCAGTAGTGGTCGTTTGGTGGTGTGGTTCATATGTGTTTCTTGCTTTGTTTATAGATAAGACCGTTGGTTTTCTTGTTTGAATTGTTTTACACTAGTCATTTTGATGCCCTTTATAGCTTGCTGTTCGGTATGAGCCAAGGCTCCGTGTTGAAAGCCGTACTTTGACCTAAAAATTTTAACTTTAAATAGATTGTGACTTGGATGGAGAGTTGTCTCATTGGTACTCATACCACATCTTATTTATATACAAAGTGACAAAATGACAAAGAATAAAAATGAGAACACCAAAACGACGGAGACACAGACAACAAAAATAACAATATAACAAACAAACTAAAAAGTACACACATCAACGAACAGCAAGAACCCCTAAAAACTGGGGGTGAACTCAGGTGTCCCGGAAGGATGAGTAGTTCCTGCTTCTTGCAAGACACCCACCGTCTTGCTAGTTATAAGTTATGTCCGGTGAAGGAGGAAAGACATCTATGACAATTCAATGGAGATCATTTAAGGCAGATGAAGTAATTATTCAATTATTCAGTTCAAGATCTGATGTCCTCAGAAAGTAATAGTAATGAAAGAAGTCATAAATATGCTGCAATTAAATGTGGGCATTACATGAAAAAAAAAACCACTTCAGCAGTTGATAAATAAGAGAAATGTCAAAGTACAAGTGTTAAATCAAGTTTCATACCATCTTAATTTGATCAATGTTGTCAGAACCTATGATATTATGTTTACAAAAAAAAAATATAATCGCTCGCCTTTACTTTTCGCCTCAAAAATGTGCAATTTAAATTTTTTTTTTTATTAAGATTTTCAAATCGCTCGCTCGCCCCAATTTCTGGAGTGGAAAAATCCGTAGAACAAGAAATTAAATTGGTGTGGCCCTATAGTGTTCTTTTATTTGTCTTTGTAAATTATAACCTTTACTGTTTAGTCCATTTTTGGTAATATTCCTACGTCGTGGCTCGGTACTTATACACCCCGCCATTGGTTTATTGTGCTATGGTCAATTTTTGTATTCCTGCCTTTCATTTTTGCTTATGTGTTTTGTCTATATGCCATTTTGTTTTTCTTTGTTGACATATTTGTTTGTTTTTACAGTAATTAAGATTATAACACAATGTTGACTGCTGTACACATATTTTTGACTTTTTTACCTATTATGTCAATATAATTGAATTTTCAGCGACTGTCATACAAGTGAGAGGTTTATCTAGCTATAAAACCAGGTTTAATCCACAATTTTCTACATAAGGAAATGCCTGTAACAAGTCAGGAATATGACAGTTGTTTCCATTCGTTTGATGTGTTTAAGCTTTTGATTTTGCCATTTGATAAGGGACTTTCCGTTTTGAATTTCCTTTGGAGTTCGGTATTTTTATTATTATACTTTTTAATTAACGAGTTTAATGTACCGGAATAACACATGGTTGGAAATTGTTTTAAATGATAGAATACTATCTATATTTTATATATCGTTTGGTCGTAAAAACTTTCTTAGGTCACATTATTTTATTCTAGTCTGTTTATGGGGCTTTTCTCAATTTATGGTTTTGGGTAGTCACTTTAGAATTTAAAAAAAGGTTTAGGCTATGTTCGTGAATATTTTCGATGCTCATATCAGCAAGTGTCATTGGAAGGATGAAGACAAAATAATAAATCATTCACAAATACTTTTAAAACTTAAAGCTGGCAGGTTT